TTCTCAGTTGATTTTAAATTCCAGTCTTTTTTTTTCTATATAATAAAACAGAAGTCATTACTATAGAAGTATAAAATTATGATTTATAGACTTGCTTAATGAAAAGCCCTCCCAATAAAGGTAAAAATAACTGTTTTAAAAAAAACTTGCCTTTCTAGGGCTTTGCAGCCTTCTTTAAAATAGTAGTAGTGGTAATTTTTGTTTCTCTATAAACTGCTTTTAACAGTCTGGCTCTACAGATCACATCTACCAGGTGTAATTTTCATTTTTCCCACTGCTTGGGTTACAAACTGTGCAAAATGCACTGACATCAATGCATAAAGGTACAGGGCAGAGTCCTGGTACTATTGTCATTACCTGATTGGCTTCAAGAGACTTGCTTAGTGGTCATGCCCAGATACAGCATTTCCTGACTAACCCATTCCCTTTTGTCCTTTCTGTCTGCTACAGGGGAAATTACTGTGCATGTGGCATTATATTACTTATTGACCTATCTAGCATTTTCTTACTTTGTTGCTATATAGTTAAAAAGTATTTTGGGAACTCAACAGGAAGATGGACTTTGAGTAGAAAATAGGAGAACAATTAAAAGCAGAAGATATTCAAAGAAACATTTTCTACAATTACAGTCTGTGACTCTACATTATCAGTAAAGATGGAAGCAAGGTATTATTGCAGGTAACTCCAGGAATTTAATTTTTATTCAATTCAACCATAACTGAAATAATTACATAAAATACATATTGAGGGCTTTGCACAAATAAAATGTGTATTCTGCATTTCAAACTCCTGATGTGGGAATTCCTGATTAAGATTTGTGTGTGTGAGATCAGCAGGAAAGGCTCTGAGTTTTTACAGTAATCTTGTATTAGCCATGTACCAAGAGTGAGAGCAAACAGTTCTATCAATAGGTCTGAGAAGTGATTTGATGCTTGTAGCTAAACCAAGCTGGACATTCAGGTAGCTGTATGTGTTATGTCAAATCAAAAGGGTAACAGTAGCTGCAAATGCAGCAAGGATGTATTTGTCAGTGAAAGACAAAATACTACTCAAGAGAAAAACGGCACAGTGTTATATATTGGGTTGTATATTGCAAATAAGAGCACCTATGGCAACTGACTTTGGGAGCTCAGTTTCTGAGATGCATAAGGCTGTTTTCTGACCATTAGCAGGCTAAAATTTTCACATGATCTGTAATACCCAAAAAAGATCCTGATAATTACATGGTGCTGAGCTAAGTGCGTGTTTGTAGAATACAACAGTGAGAGCTGTCAGAAAAAAACCCAGCTTTCAGGAAATATCTGTGATCAAGCCTCCAGTCCTTATTAAGTCTGGTTCTGAAATATTTTACATGCTTCTGTCCATTTGATAATCTCTGCTATAAATGGGTTTCATGCCTTAGGGATGATGAAGAAAGAATAGATCTTAATCCCCCTGGAAAGTGAAGGCTATTAGAAGTTAATTATAACCTCATTTTTGTAGCAATACGAATGGGACTTTATAACCTTAATGACCACAGGTGTGAGTTCTTGTACAATTTGTGACTGCAATTATTCCCAGATCTCATAGGATTAATATTCCAGTTGATCTTGTGTTACAGGAACTTTTCTTTTTCCTCTGGACTATATCAGCAGTTAGCCTGAAGATGGACAGAAGATTTTGATGAAAAGAAAAAAAAAAAAAAAGCATTTTACCATGTCTACATTTAGGCAATGTGTTATGGTAAGACCAGGCTAACCACTCCTGCTTGTTCTAGGAGGGCAGACCTTCTTCCTCCTCCATGTACTGCTTGTTCTATGTCCATCTTGTGATCAAAGGCTTTTCATAGAAAGGCCTGTTGATTCTGTGCCATCCCATTTCATTTTTCCCACAGCATAATGGTCTCTGGGCCTCCTGGGGAAAAAATTCAGTAATGCTGGTGATGGGAAACAGGGTAATTACAAAAAACCACAGAAGGTGCCTACAGTTTAATTTTCTTGCTGTTTCTATGTAATTATATTAGCTTTTTCACAATAACTGTTGCTTCAGATAGTCATATTGTAGTGTCATCTTGTAATTAACCTGCTGTGTCTTTGGACTGTTGTAGTTACAAAGCACTGGCAGGTTTTGAACTGAAAGCTCAGCATCCTGGATGGATTATATTCTGCCACCATACTGTATATTGTCTATGAGCAGCCTGTATGATCATGTATATCTTTTGGGCAGTCTATCCAGCTGTAAAAATCAGCAGAATAGGGTTATTTTAGTCAAACTAATTCCCAAGTAGTGATTTACATTCTATTCTTCCATCTTGTTTCTGTAAACTAGTGCCATGTCCCAAGCACAGCAGGAAATGCTCACAGTAGTGTACAATGACTCTTGCACGATCAAAGAGCTGTAAACTGTGCCAAATCTACTTCAGATTATCAGAACCAAGGTCATGGGGCCTGGCAAACAGGGACAAGCTGAAACCAAGCAGAGATTTCTCCCTTGAGGTGTCAGGGAGCAGGAGAGAGACTGGAGAAAGAGGGAGTGACTGTGATAAACCTCCACAGGGAGTGAGGAGAGAATGGCAAACGTGGGATAATGAGCTGCAGCCATGCACGTGCAGAGTGTGCCCAAGGCAAGCAACAACTGGGCACAGGAGCACCTTTCCAGAGCAGAGCAGACTTGTTGCTTGCTAGAAGCTTGTCACCTCTAGTATTGTTGGTGTGGAGTCAGTCCTGCCCGGGAGGACAAAGGAGTGGTCAGAGGTCCTTTGACTGGGAAGCTATCAACACAGCAAACCCGTATTTTGGGGACCATCCGAGTCAGTAGTTGGAGGCATGTCTTCATGTTTCATAGCCCTTATAGCTTGTTTTCCATGAGCTTACCCAGCTACTTTTTGGGAGCATTTATACTCTTCATGATCAGTGATTCTTCTGGCATAATTTCACACAGAAATGTGGTGCCTGATTTTCTTCAAATCCACTGTTCTCAAGGGTAGGAAATAATAACAGCTATTCCCTCTTCACTTCTGCATACCAGTCATGATCTTCTATGCCTCTGTCACCCGTTCCCCGCCACAGTCTTTTTTCTAAGCCAAAGATCACAAATTTGTTCATCCTCTCTTAATCCAAAAATAATTCTAGATTTCTTTTTTTTCAGCTCTGCTGTGCACATCTCATATTGCTTCAACAGCTTCTCTTTAGCTTTCTTTTTGCCACCTGGGGAGTACCAGATGTTCACTCCATACAACTGGTTGGGTCCATAATCCCTGTGGTGTAGGCAGAGTTTTTGGGATGAAGAAAAAGTTGTTCCAAATGTTGCTTTCACGCAAAGAGGGGTCACACAGGCTACACAAGGGGTGAAGAGCCTGCAAATGGTTGCATGGTGAAGTAGCAAGGCAGCAAACAAATTACTCTCATTACTACACTTGTGCATCTTCTTGGTGGGGGAAGAGAAAGAGATTCTGAAAGTGTCCAAAATAGGGAGACTACTCATCATGCATGTAGGTTGTTTTTTCTTGGAGGATTTTAATTTGAGGATTAAATAGAAGATGCTCCTTTTCAAACAAATATTGGTAAATCAAATAAACGTGTCTTTCTGCTATTTTCCAAGAACTGGGGAGAGCTGCAACTGAAATAGACGTAACTGAGAAAACCATATTTTTATTGTCTGTCTATTATGCATGGACAAGTCTTTTGCTCATCTGCACTTACAAGACTTCCATCAAAATTATCAATATTGTCAAAGTTTATGTAGGCCTTGCAAATTTTCCCAGAGATCTGATTATTGTGCCATACTCTTATCATATAGGAAGGGAGGCCCTTTCCCATATTGTAGTACAAGTTTAGTCCCTGTGCCTGTTCTTAGAAAAACAGTTGTGTTTGTATCTTGTAGTGACTAGGCAGCCCCACATACACATCTTGTTCCAGAGAGAAATACAGTCCAGAAAATACAACTTATAACTAACCAGGGCAACCTCACAGGTCTGTGAACTCCTTCTCAGCTGAAACCACAGAGGTCACCGGCTGTCTGCATACCAGAATTTAAATAGACTCATCAGAATGACCAGGAACAAGTGCTAAGGGATAGCCCCATGGGTAGACAACATATGTGTGAAAGAACTTGTTCCTGTTGATGATGACACACCTATTATCCACCTGCAAACCCACAAAAGGAGTATTACAACCAGGACTTAAGATAGGGGGTGTTTCATAGGGAAATGCAATTGTTTGTATGAACAAGAGACCTTGCCACAAAAAGAATCGTGTCACACTGAATCTTGCCTTGAGAGAAATCCAAATACAAGTCAACGTTCTAATTCATATGCCTTGGGCTATATTACCTTCCCTGGCGGGAGAAGAGAACAGTAACTGGGAAAACAACAAAAACCGTGCTGAGTACTAAATGCAGACCCTTCGTTCCTTCCTTTGTGTTGAGCAATGATTTCTTTCTCTCTTCCTCAGATCCTTGTCATGTCGATAGCTCAATATCCTGCCTGGGGACAGAGAGCTGAGAGGGAGAAGTGAACAGAGGTATTATACACAGAGAGAGGGGGCACCCATAGTTCAGTGCAGTTTCAATTTTTCTAATGCAGATTTCCTCCCTTCAACTCTCTGGTCATTAACATCTTAACGGGTAAGGACATTGTGTAGCCATAACTCTGTTTTCTCATGGTCTTAATTTAATTACATGGAGACAGGAGAGAAATTATTTTTAAAATGCTGTTTAAGTTATTTGTTCTGTCATTTCTTTCAAACAAAAGCATCTCCTTTGCTTGTAACTCTCTTGATTACCGAGGAATGTAGTGCTCGTGACAGATGCCCAGGGCTGCAGATGAAGCTGTGTGCCCAGGCCGTGTAGGGTTATGGCGTTCCCTCAGCCCAGATCCGGAAGAACTGAGCATCTGAAATGCTGAAGTCCACACCTGCAATCTGGCTCGGGGCCAGCCGGCTCGGGCAGACCACACTCACCTTGTTGGACCTTTGGCACTGAGGCCGATGCTGTCATTCAGGCACTGAACTGCACCGGCTTCGTGCCTGTCAACCCCGAAGCTGGCTGGGACCTGAGTGCTCTCTGATGAGCCTGGTGCCCACTCCTGGAGCACGGACAGGACCTGACAGAGCTGGGTGGCTCACGAACTGCTGTGGGAAGAAGGGGAGGACGGTGTCCAGCTTTCACACAGCGCTATCTAACAGTGCTCAGAGGTGGGTGCCGGAGAACGCGACTGAGTGGCCGCCAGTGGCTCCTGCGAGCCCTAACCCCGTTTTGCAGTGCCGGGAGGCGGCTGTGTGACAGACGGACCTTTCTGGGTCTCCCCTCAAAGCTCCTCTCCCCCGGCTGCACCCGACACCCAATATTGCTGTGAGCAGAGGGAATGCCAGCCTGCACTGACACCTCAGCGTCCCACAGCGACTTTGCCCGGCGTCACCCCACGGGAGGCAATGGGGCACTCGGGCGAGTTGCTCGGAGCGGAGGTGGGAGCGCAGCCCGGCCCGCCCCCGCCCGGCCCCTGCGGCCGCCCGCGGCCAAGTGCGCGGGGCGGAGCGGCGGCGCCGGCCCCAGGAGCTGCAGAGAGCGCTGGCCCGGCGGCCCGCGGGGATGCTGCGCTACAGCTCGGGGCTCACGGTCACCGCCACCACCCCCCGGAGGCCGCCCGGCGACGGCGGCCGCTCCCGGCGGAAGGTGCGCGGGGCAGCGCGGGGGGCGGCGGGAGGTCCCGCGGGAGGGTGGCGGGGCAGAGAGCAGGTTTGACATCTCCCCTCCTGTAGTGACCTGCGGAGCGCCTTCCCCTCTCCCCCTCCCCTTCCTTAAATTCTGTGGTTTCAGGTAAAGCTTGCGGTGTGTGCGAGAGCATCTTTTTGTGCGTTCTTTGTAGCTGTGGGGAAAGGGAGAGTTTCTGGGGAGTCCTGCAAGGCTTTTGTAGTTCTAGACCTGGCCTGTTCTGTAAACCTGCGAGGAAGGTGTACTTGTGTTGGAGGCTTCCCTCGCATCCTTGAAATGTGCCTGGATATTTTTATTGCGAACTCGCCTATCCTATCCTGAGAAAGCTCACTGTAATGATTTAGATGGCAATAGTAATTTAATTGTATAATCAGTTCCTCAAATGCAGATATGTAATTTGCTGATTTTTTAAAAAAAATCATAACTGCACCAAATAATAACCATGTATTAATCTATTTGGCTTCTGTAAAGTTGTTAAAACTTAGGCAGATATGATAGGAATGTTTCTGCAGCCACCCAGCTTTAAATAGCCCTTTTCTTGCTGCTGTAACTACACTGCTATCATTGTGAATGTTGATTCCACATGTGAAGAAAGAAATCAAAGTGAGAATATTATCCTTACCAAAAATACGTCCATGTGACCATGATGTTTTTTGAATTCTGCAGTTATTGTTTTGATGCTTCAAAAATATGACTTCATAATTTAAAAGCTGAAGAATGTTGTGTTGCTCTGGTTTTACATGATAGCAAGAAGGTGAGAATGGTCTTCCTGACAAAACGATCCCTGGTCTTCATAAAAATGAAATTGCTTATGCATAAGAAAAATTATGATGACTTAAAAATCGTATTTATGTTCCCTATATGACTTCTGTGTTCCCACTGAGTTTCCCTATTCTAGTATTTCTTAAAGAAGTAACGGAACTCCTATTCAGGTGATAATTTATTTATTTTAATCCCCCTGATGGATTTCTTGGAAATTATGAACTGTATTTGATACATTCTTTTAAGAAAACTGGTGAAAATTTAATTCACAACTACAGCTTACTGGGAAACTGTTGTCCCTTTTTTTTAGTGAAGTGTGGCTCCCTTATCATGAGTTGTAAGACGAGGGGAGAGAGAATAACTGCTGAATAAATGGAAGATGTGCGTCACATTCTTGTGTGCCTATGGTCACAGGAAAAGTGCCCTTTAATTGTGTGTGGAATCTCATGGCAGAGATTTCATAAATGGAGCATCCTAATCAACAGATAAATGACCAAAGAAAGTTCTTTCTTTCTTCTTTGCTTTTTAGAACTGAAAGCAAACGTGCACTGTTTTTCTGCTTTCACCTTCAAAGGTCTAAAGCCAACACTGGACCTTAGGCAGGTGATTTTTGGCCACCGAGCTGATAGGGTAGTAGATAGTTACTCTACAAACGTGTTATCCCCATTTGTTGCCAGTATCAACAATATTAAATTCTGGTGATGTTGAACTCCAGGGCTGGTTTGAAGCTAGATCAATATTGAACCACATCTTTTTCCTGTGAGGCTCCTGTAAAATGCTTAGAGACTGGGTGCTAGTAGAATAGCCAGTATTTTTCTGTTGCTGTACTAGTAACTTTAGTTTTTCTATAACAGCATTGCTCATTAATTTAAAAATTAATTTTAATGAAAAAATCTTTAATTATTTCAGTCCATAGTTAATTCTGATTAATGTCTTTCTGGGTGCTTTGTTTTTTGGAAAGGAGGAAGAAGAGGCTGAAGGACATTACTTAAACTGAATCTGTCATCTGTATTTGTTTTAAGTTGCACCCTAGTGATTTGAGTAGGATGGTAAACATACATGTGGATTGTGGATCTGGGCCGTTGATTCTCAACATTTTAAATCTAAGCTAGATTTTTTTTTTCCTTAACTGCTGTATTGCAGTAGCTCTCCTCTATGCTGTCCCACTAACCTCTTAGAAATTCGGTAAAAAAGTGTGGTTTCACCTTTTACTTTTCATTGCAGTCAGGAAACTTCTGCTGTCTGGTGTCGTGTTGGGGTGAACCTGTCCAGTCTTTGTTTTCCTGTCTGTGTCTTTGTTTCACAAATGATGTCAGATGAATTTTGGAAATACCACTTATGGTTTGTTGGTGTCAAAAAGCTAGGAGCAAGCATAAAATATTGGCACAATTAAGATTATTTATAATGTTGACTTGCCAAAGCTACAGATGCTGCAAATTAAGCAAAAGTCAGACAGTCCTGTAGGATTGTTAGAAAGATACCTGGTTCTCTTCTACTCAGTATTTCTCTTTAAAAGTTATGCTCACAAAGCTACAATGTCAATGACATAAAGGTAGGGTGGAAGTCATGTCTGTCCCTGTTTTTTCTCACATTTCCTTACTGTCAGTAAGCAGATGAAGGAAACTGAATTGCAGCTCTTTCCCTGACAGAGTAGTTCTCATTCTCCTCTCCATTTTCTCTCTGCATTATCCCGTTTGTTTCTGGAAATTACTTTTTCGTCCTCAGTTGCATGTTATCCTGCCACTGTTTGGCACTGAGTTCAGTCTCTTCCTGTTAGGATTTCATTTCCATTTTAAGGCATCACTACAGCAGTGTTTGCTGTGGGAGTAGGGCTTGCTGTGATTCCCATGTGAGCCTGCTCATTGATTTGGTCAAGTAAACTGACTTACAAGTGGCACAGTGTGTTGTTCCTTCAGGAAGCCCTGCAGAGCAAGAACAGTGTTCAGAACTGCTTCTGGGCTCTGGAGGAAAAAGCAGTGCCTGTTGTTTTTCCTTTCCAATCTCTGTAGTGTTTCTGAATTTTAGCAGATGGGTCTGTAGAGCTGTCCTTAGGTAGAATGCATCATCTGGTGCCTAGGAGGAGCAGGACTGCATGGCTCCTTTATACATTTGCTGCTGTTCCCCAGGGATGCTGAGGAAGTCCTATTGTTGTAAACAATAGCAGAGTCCAGCCTGTGTAAGTTTGTTCTAGCAAGGAACTGGGTGGAACTGTGCACTGCTGTACAAGCCTTGCTGGGCACGACTTCATGGCTGGAATCCTTATGATTGCCAATTGGGGTGGGGTAAGTGATTTGGGGGTCATAGATAAGGCAAAGTGAAAAGGGCAAGAAAAAATAGCATAAATGATGACAATTTTTTGATTGTACAGTGGTTTTAGTCTCAACAAATGACTGTTGTTAATTTATATTCCAGTGCAGTTGTGATGACTTGACTGCCATCTGTGCTGGACTTCCGTGATTTCCCTCGTAGTAGCCCTGTAACACCTGTGATGTGAAGGGCAGTTGTGATTCACTCGCTGGTACAGAGATAATTACTTATTTACAATCACTGCACTGTGAACCTCTGTTGGCTATAATTAGCCTCGTACTGATTAATAAGAAAGCTATTCACTTTAGAGAATCATACACAACCTCATTTCTCCTAACTTTGAGTTGCCAGTCATTATCTATTTCTAGTTATTTCAGGCATTTTTAATGTTTTATCCTAGCAATATGTTCATTCCTTGTTGTCCAGTTTTCCTTTGTTTGAAATCACTGTAATAAAAAGTTGGCCTCATCTATCACTTCCTGTGCAGCACAAATTCACTTCTATTTCCTATTTATGGCTCTGGTCTTTGTTTGCCTACATGGAGGAATGCCAGTCTGTGCTTCCCTTCTTGATGTAAACACGAATGTTTTAAGAGGAAAGAGTGTTAATAAGCTAATGGGAGGAAAGGGCACGAGGAAAGGTGATGTTAATTACCTTATGAATCAATGAGTTCCAAAGATGAGAATTTATTGTTTATGTATCTGGATAACAAATCTGTAAGTAGAAAGTACCAACAGCATCTGTAGATTCTGGAGACAGTCTGGTGTTCTTAGAACAAACATAGCAGCCAATCAAAAGCCAATGTACCAAGTTTCATAATTTTAAAATGCATTTCATTGTTTTAGTATTCTTGAGCAAATATGAAAGCATAAACTGCTTTTAAGTTTTGGGGACTTTATGTCATTTTGTGGCTTCTTGTTCTAGAGTTTTTAGCATATAGATGAATGATAAATTAACAGGGAGGAGGCCACTGCACAAAAAATTGCTTTCACAGATATGTCTACAGAATAGGTTGTATTTCACCTTGATCTTCTTTTTTTTTTTTTTTTCCCCTTCTTATTCTTTATAATATAGACACATCTCACATATTTTATAAGAACTTAATGTATCTCAGGACACTGTTTCTTACTGGCCTTGCCGGCCTGAAAGACCAAAATGAGAGGAAGATGGAAGGCAGTACATAACATTTCTAAAATACAATTGACAACATACCAGTAGTCTAAATGCTATTGATTTGTCCTCTCAACAGATTTAAAGAAATGCCAGAACAATAATAGTGAAGTTGTAGATAGTTCTTCCATTTGTTTTGGCTTGGGAAGAAGGAAAAGTTAAAGCCTGTTTGAAAAGTTGAAAAAGGTGTTTTGTGTGGAAATGGAAAATAGGGATCCTTGTTGTGATGCTGAATAGTGGTCTCTGAGGAAGTTGTATTGTAAAGAGGCTTGAAAACGCAGTCAAGGCAGCTCAAATGATTTGAAAGACAGCTGGAAAAAATGAATTGTAAAATGGTAACATTGGGGGTGTATGGGAAGGGCTTTGCTGCAGTGCCCTGAATGCAGGGAGCAGAACATTATTGCCATCTTCAAGGCAAAAGGAGGTGACCAAGACGTGTTAGGTGGGACCAGTGCAGGGGGAAGGTGGGTCTGAGACAGAGACACATTCAGCATGACTCCAGGAGAAACTGGAGAGGTCTAGATCAGATGAGATGCTGGGCTGTAGAAGAACAGTGATGATGGCCCACAGTAATCATGAAAGAGACAATTAAGAGGTTTTGAGGAAGAGCTTTAAGAGCTCTCTTTGTTGCCAGCAGACAGCTGGGATTTTACAGGATGGTTTTGTGCAGCTTTGAATTTGGACAGCCAAATTTCTTATTTCATCATTTGCTATGCTCTGCTTAGGACTTAGAGTTGTTTTCCACAAAAATATCTCATGAATAGGACTAAGACTGAATGTTTTAACCAAGTTTCTTGCATGAAATGTATTGCTTGGAAAACACCATTAAACCAAAGATGTCTCAGTCCAAAGCAAGGCAAACTGCAGCTGGGGACAGAAAGGCAAGAGAATGGTTTTTCTAAAATCACTTAGGAAACACCTCTTAACTTTTTTCTTAAGTGTTTCGAAGTTTACAAACCATTTGTATGTATCAGATTTGAATAATACTCTTATTTCACATTTAGTGGAGTTGCTGTACTGCAGTATCCTTGGATCAAATACTTGGCTATATGTTGAGCAGAAAAGAAGCATTTATTCTAAAATACACTCCATGTTTCCAAATAATTCCTTTTGAAGAATAAAAGTATGCCAAATCAGCAAAGAAAACTCAGAAAGTAGAAAATTATGTTCATTGTTCTGTTATCTCAGCTCTCAATGTCATTTATGAGCACCTAAGAACAATTTATTGATTGAAATGAATTTTTGCTATTTCAGGTATGTAAGTATGGGGATACCCTTGAATTATTTTTTGCCAACTAAAAACCCCTTTAACCTTTAAAAATAATATTTTGTCAGCTGTGTGGTAGAAAACAGAAAATAGTTGAGTTCAAAGTTGAATCTCAGTACACTTCATTCTGTAATGCAAATTATTAAAATAATTTTTCTAACACCTAAATCTTGTTCTTCTTCCAGATGAATGTGTGTAGGCTACGCTTAACAGTGCCACCTGAAGAAGTGTCACAGCCTGAACAGGGACCAAAGGAAACTGAGAGAAAGAAAAGTGTAAGTTTTAAGAATCAAAGTTAAATGCTCTATAAATGAGAAGTAAACATTGCCCTCCACAGATGTTGATACTTGTTGTTTTGGCAGCCCAAAGCCCAGTCATCTTAGAAGATTTAAGAACATGTGGAAGGTGATCAAGTTGGGTGTGAGCTATGAGCCTAAGCCTTGGAGTTAAGGAGTTAAGTTGGCAAAGCTGCATGTAAAACAGAACAATGGTAGAGGAACAATACAGATTGTAGGTGAATTGTGACTGAGGTACCTTTGAAACTTGACTATTTCATATTTCTATATCAAAGAGCAGGAAACTGTTACTAGGAACAGGGTCCTCTATTAAACAGGATCTTGATCAAGATCCTCTTGATCTTAAAAGAGTGTTTTATGTTTAATGTAGGCTCAATGATGTGCAAGATTTGAGCATTAATGTAGTTGGTGTGCTGGGGACCTTGATGTTTGTGTGACTCAGCTAATTTTGGTACAAATGTGCAAATAAGAAATTAAAGAATTCAAGATTGTTCTGGAGTGAAAGGGATTTTGAAGGTCATGTGATTAGAAGGGTTCAGAAGGGCATTTGTTTTGCAGAAGTGAGTAATGTGCACACAGAAAAAAATTTTACAATCTGCTTTGGTGCAGAACTTGTTCCATAAGAGCTGTTCACTGCAAGAGATGATGTTTAATTAGTCTTAAGGAGGAAGACTAAAAAGGGAAGCTGGACGAGCTCCACAACTTCACCACATTTATACTTTGATAAACCAAAATTAAACAAGTTGATGAAGTTTGCCAGACTCAATGTCTGACAATAGGAAGAAAAATAACAATAGGATTTACTAGAAATAATTTCTTAGTGATACATAAATGCAAAAATAACTAAAATTACTGAGAAAGACATTCTAAGCAATAAAAATAAATGCAAAGTAAAATGCTCAAGACAAGGATTCCTTATCAGTTGTTTGTTGTCCTGGAATCTTTTATACATTCAGATTTTCACACACTTGTTCAGCAGAGTAATTGGTTTTTCAGGATCTAGAAATGTTACTTACAGAATAGTTTAAATAGACCTTAATGCCAACTAAATTTGGGCCACCATTAAATAGCAGTAATTCATTTAGTACAGAGGTGTTTAGCTGTAACATTTAGAGTAGCTTCTCTGTCAGTCTCTTGTCAGCTTGTGTCTGATTGCAGCAACCCTCAGACTGGCCTAAGTTTATGGGCCCCTTGTCCTAAGAGGAATCCGAGTTTGCTTTTGAGGAGGATAGGTGTTTACTCATGCCTTACTCACTTTATGGTTTTGAGTAATGTGATAATGAGAAAGAATTGTTAAGGATTAGGGTTGGACAATTTGTAGTCACTTTCTTACATAACCAGTGTTTTTCACTGTGGGACCTCGTATTTAATGAGCTATTATTTCTTCCATAATACAAGTAAAGGCAAGTGGGCTTTATATCAGAGAATGTTAAGGAGAGGATTTGAAGATAATAAATGCATTATTTAGCTCAATGTGCAAAACAGTGATGTTTAAGAGATGGGTCCTTATTAGCTGAACCAGAAAAAAACATATGCAATTTAAATATTGTGTGTTCTGAGTAATTTGTAAAGTTCAGTACTTTTAGACAATTGAAAGACTTATAAAGTTAGGATTCAGAGCTAGATAGGATCTACTCAGCCAATTTCATGGCAATTAAAAAACACTGAGCAATTAAAAAAACAAAACTACTTGTGTTTTATAATTTCTGTGTGATTAAGAAAAATACCCCACAGATAGTACAGCCAAAGTGTATGGAATCAGCTACAAAAAAATCACTGCTCATGAGCTGGTTTCTTCTCATGTCTCTAAAGCCAGACAGCAATGTATTACCTGTACATTTTTATTGTCTGTGTAATCGATTGCTTTATTCGAATTAGTGGTACAGTAATTTACAGTGCATACATACCTCATGACTCGTCATGCTGTGATACTTTTACTACACAGTTTAATTAAAATAAAATTTCCTACAAACAGTGATCAGGTATCACCTGTGTTCAGCTGACTTCATGTTTATGACATTGCTTAAAGCACTTTGAGAACAAGTTTTACAAATGTTAGATAATCCTCTCACAGTCCTGTGAGAACTGTGGCCCTTTTTGGAAATAGGGATGATAGAAATTAGGGAACTGCTCTACCTTGCACTTTACAATTTAAGGTCAAAAAATTCAGCTTCAGTAAGAATCAAATTTAACATCAGATCCCTTGTTGGAATCTAGAGTTCTATGCTGTCTTTAATTGCTGACTCCTAAGAAAATGAGAACATGAAAAATGCTTTTGGCATTTAAAATTTATTAGTGTGACTTACAGAAATTAACTGTAGGGGTAATCTGTGGGATTGCACAGTTTTTGCTGGAGTGCTCAACCAACTGAGGCAGTTGGAGCCTGGCTGCAGGTGCTCTTCTGGTTGGGCAGGACAAGTCTCTGCCTCTGCTGCTGAGAGAGGAGAGAAAAGACCTTGCAGTGTTGGAGGGGATGCCAGAAAACTATAAATACCATGGCGTGACATTTGGTTGTAATCTCCTCTTTCAAATCTTTCATTGGAAGGAGGTGATTTTGAGCTGCCCTAATGTGACAGGGTGATGGCTCACTGTGTTTGTTACTTTTCTGCATCTCTCAGGCTCAGTACCATTAAGAGATGCTTCAGTGGCAGAATCAGCTAATGAACTGCACAGCAGCTATTCCTGAGGCTGATCCTCCCAATCATTTGTTTTGCTGCTTAATGTCAGACCAGGAGTGATTCTTTATCAGTTAAGTTGGTAGCTCTTGCCTTAGTCTTTTTCATTGGAGTCCAAAGTTCGCAGAAAATTTGTGCTGTATTTTGTTCAATCTGTATCAGTGCAGCAAGTTTCTAGATTAACTTTTTTACTGCTGTGCATCCATTGAATAAAAATGAACCAGTGTAAGAGATTAAAATGAAATTATGGATCTGGGTGGTTTTGTTGCAAGAAAATTGCTGTAGGCTATACTGTACTAGGGTGGCCTCTCCCTGCTTTTTGTGAAAGGCTGGCAGATGGTACAGAGTTAGAGACTGATCTCAAAAACTGAAGGGGGAGTGAGTTTGTGTCAGGTTGGATTTTGTATATTGATATTTAGGATATGATACCCTGAAAGAAGCATATGAGAACTTAATTCACAGGTAGAGGCTGTTGGTTGAGTTGTTTGAATTGTTAGTACTTTAGGTAGAGAGAATCACAAATTATTCTGATTCTGTTCCATTATTTCTGTCCATGATAGACAATGGGTGACAGTAGTGTGAGGCTGTTTACTTCACCATGAAGTACAAAGGAATATTGTGCTTGGCAGATTGTATGCAAAATCTGCATATCCTGAAGCCTCTCTTGTCTTGCATAATAAAGGACTACCAGACAATTGTATTGTCCCTGTTTGGGATTGGGCTTATTTTTATCCATCAGTCTCTTTCTTCACTGTCATGGTTAAATTTGGAAGTGTCATTGGAAGCTGCAGCTAAGCTTTTGAGGGCAGAATGTGAAGATATGTATAGATATACATTTCTTTTTCATTTGGATACGTGGACAAGAGAATGAAAATGAGATAACACACTGGAAATTTCTGTCACTTTACTGTCTGTGGCTTTCAGCCAAGTTTGAATGGTGTTCAGTCTTAAACTTAACTTGGTACTTTGGCTGCATATATCCTCAAACACTTTAATTTGCTTAGTTTTTTTTAAACATCACAACTAAGAAGTGAAATTCTTTTTCCTTCCTAAACAAGAATACAGAAGCATAGCAAACTTTTTTTCACCCCCAGCAAAAAAGTAGGCTGTAAAGAAGCCAGGAGGGGAATTTGCTTCTGTACGTCATGGTGAGAATCAAGCACAAACTTGTGTCAGGCCTGCTTCACGAATATGAGTGCAGTGAACGTGGGGCTGTGGTGCCCTTGGAATCTAGGACAGTGCCTATTTTCTCTGCTGCTCCCAGCCCACTCCTGTCAGCACAGCAGACCTTGTGCCTGAAAAAATGTGGTTCATCTGCTACAGGTGATGTTACTGTTTCTCAGTCTTTCCAGCACGGGTCACTTCATTTTTGACGTGTACTAATTAAGCAGTGCCTTTGATTAAAACCAGCACTACGTAAAAAATGCAGAAAGAATTCCACTGACTTCTGAGGTTACTGCTGTATTTGTTGTATCTTAGTTTTCCAATGTGTAAACACTGGCATTCTGTGTACAGAATTCATGGATTAGATATCACTTCTCTATTGAGATGGACACCGAAATTCTACACCCAAGGAGCTTCAAAGTTGGAATGTATTCAGCAGTACTTCTTGCATTCTTCATGAATTTAAGAACACTCACGTCTGTTATGGCATATTTTCCCTATTGTAATACTATTTTAATGTAAAACATTCATGTTTTTACTATTTTAATGTAAAACATTCCCAAATGTACCATGATTTTCACAGGCTGTAGAGGAATATGAAAAGACATAAAAACAGAGCTGCTTTTTGCCAGAGCACGGTAACTTTTCTTCGTGAGCTTAATGTTATAAATATGTCATTTTATTGAAGAGAAAATATGTAACCTCAGTAACAGCATGAATACTCTTGTTCCTTGTGTAACTAGTGAACAGGTAAAAGATAACTGGATATTTTTAGAAACGTCTGGAATGTGGCTGTTAAGGAAAAGATAAAGCCTCATTTAACTGATATAATTCTTGTTACAAGTTTTTTGATGGTGTAAGTTAACAGAAGACCATGAGTCAGGAATATTTTAAGGCCACAGGGGTACTAAACACAGAATTGTGTTAAGCATTACATTAGATGTCTTTTTTTTTCTCAAAGAAAGTGTCTTCTGTGCTTTTGCTTTCAATTTTGGGGCAGGTAGAAATATAAAATATGAGCCTATCTGACTTTCACTTATAAAACTGGTAGATTAGAAAGCACATCATCCCGGAGTGTTATTTACATAATGCAAATAAAACCATGGGTCATAGAAAAAAACAGCTAAAAACTTAAATTTAGGGTTTCGGTCTTATAATGTCTTCACCTGTTTCATGCTACTTGTGCTGCCTCCTTGGACAGAGACATAAACAGGATGCATGGTAATTATCAAGACTTTTGCAACCTTGGGGTGTAGGCTTCTGTTTTAAATATTTATTAGTTAAGTAAACACAGTCTGTGTTTCATTGGTACATTCTGTGTGATCACACCAAGCACAGCTGTCTGCTGCTGCAGCACAGACAGAACACGTTCCTGGAGGCTGATCCAGGATGTGTGAGCATCTACACGAGGTGTCCTTGCTGTCACCTTGGGCTGTGCAGAGCTGACTATAGGTACAAAGATATATTCACAAACTGATTAAGCTAACTCTTTCTTTTCAGATCATTAGCTCACATTAGATGGGATTTGGCTGATATTTTGACTTTAAACAGCAATGGTTGATTAATCTAATGAATCCTTCATCTTAAAGTTCTGTTCTGGTTAGCTTTACAGTATTTACTTGCTCCTAAATACTTGCATGTATTTACTTATGCTGTTATCTTCACTGAGATGCCTCACTGTAGATAAGAGTGGAGACCATTGAGTACCTGCTTGGAAAAATATCTGAGTTCTGAGAATGGGTGTGTATGGGACATAGAGGAAAATAATGGGAAGTATTTGACTTTAAAAAAGGATGAGGAAAATCCAGGATCAGTGAAAGAGGAAGCATGAGAGAGAGGAAGTGTCAGAGGAAGAACAGAGTACAAGGCAGAAAAGGAAAAAAAACAGTGAAGGGAGAAAAAGAGACAAAGGTGAGTGGAAGTAGCTCGAGAGGAGGCAAACTGGCAGGATTGTACTCAGTGCATGCTTAGTGCTGCAGTTTTCTGGAGATATTTGAGAGCTGAGGTACTCAGCAAGGCCTTGTCTAGAGACAGCTGTATTGGAAAAGTAGTCAACAAACAAAGCAACCATATCAACCCTGCATTCAGAGGAGTTTCCTGATTGTAACCTTTCTGCTAAGAGGAGACTGCATCAGGTGAGCCCTTTTTTGGCTATTTATACAGAGCCCTGAAACTAGTGGTCACTGAGAAGAAATTCAGAGTTACTAAACAGAATAGGGTGAGTAGAAGATAAGCATGACTGAAATAGAACAGCAATGGAAAAGTTTAAGGAAACATGAGAACTGTTACTTGTGTAGCTGTTGGCTCACACATCTTTAAAACAAGCAAGAACTGAAATTTTAACAGGCACTTGTCTTGGAATTATGATATTAAGGAAGAATAAGGAGAGGGTAAAAACAATATCCTGTATTTTAAGTAGCACATAGAACTGGAATAGTCAACAGATGATGGAGAGTCTTTTAATCTTCTGAAAGAGAAATAACAAAGGCATTTTAGGAGGCTTGTGCAAATACAGATAACAGGCAAGTTTAGCATTGTTGAAAGAGACATGTAACCAGTCTGCCTTTGTGTGTACCTAATCCTGCATGTACTGGCCATTATAATGTAAATTTAAGTCTGTTCATCTCTGAAATACATATGTAAGTGCCATGGGTGATTATCCAGCTGCAAACCCATTGGTCTGAACTTGTAGGTCTTTCTTGGATGGGGGGGGGAGGGGGAGAGGAAAGGGGGAATCCTTCAAAGCATTCCTGAGGAATGTGGTCATAATATTCTAAAAAAAAGGAACTTGGTCAGAATTTTTATGCCAGAACTCTGCAAACAGCACTTCGGACATTTTAGACAATTCTGCTAATGTTTCAGAGGCACAAAGGACCTTGGTATTGCTATTCAGCTTTTCACCTCATTAAAAATGAGTGATCATGGGCAAAGGGTATGGATTTATGAATTCAGTCTGGTGCCTTGGTAACCTCTAAACAATCAAAGTGATTATTCATTCTGTTATCAGGAAGATAGAAACTTGTGTGTAATCCTTTTTTCCAGATGCAAGGGAGGAGCTGCAATGAACTATGAAAGAAACTGTACAACCCTGGAAACAAACAAACACAAAATAATTTTGAGTAATGTCCCCATGTGGTTTCTGTATTTCTCTATTTCTAAGTATGAGCTGTAGGGTTTTGTTTGTGCACGTCCAAACAGCAAAACAAAACTCACAGTAATACATAATTATGAAACATCTCATTTTGAGGATATGAAGCTTTGCATATAATGCTTTCAAAGTGCAAAATTATATCATGCGTTAAGTAGGGGTGGTTGCCCAATGTTTTCTTCATTAAGTGGTTTTAAAGCTTTCTTTTCAAGTGAAGGTTTGCAGCTTTGTTGTTCTGTGCCTGAAATGTTCTTTATCACGTCTGCTCTGTGATTGTTGCACTCCCATTCCTGCACACACACACACAAAGCTTCAGCAACATGGTTAAACTATTAATGATGGGATGAAGAAGTGTAGGATTCACAGTGTTAGGAAAATCTGTCAGTGCCATGTGGAGTGGACACAATATATATATAAATATAATACAATATAAAACAAATGTCTTTCTCTATCAAATTTTCTTAATACAAGTAAATTTTCCTGTTCATTTTCCCCTTACCTAAGGAAGTATTTATTCTAATATTGCCAGCATAGTTGTGTTAGTTTGGCTCCTAAAAACTGCTGCTGCTGCTGCTTCAGGCTGCAGATGGTGTCCTCTCTTAAGGACTGGAGATCTCTAGGATGCAGCTGCAGATGGATAAGATGCTGAACTTCTTCTCTTGAAGCCTCTGTTTGGTTTCAAAGAGAGTATTTAGACAATGCTTAGAACAAAGAAAACCAACCCAAAACATATTCTAAAATCAATATAGTATATGTCCCCAAGTGTACCTGTATCTGGTATACCCAGAATAAGAAAGTAAGTTCTTTAAAACCATCTATATCTGATTTTTCTCTAGAAGTGACCTTTCAAAAACAATGTGCAAAGCTGTAACAGCTGTGTTTCCAAACTTTTAATTCTAACTTTCCATTCAGAAATCACTGATTATTTTTAGGCTACTAGTTTGCAAATATTTCACATTCAGTAAGAATATTTCCCCCTTTAAAAAAGTCGTAAAGTGAATGTCTTCATTTAAGGTAGTTGTTTAAATTCCTTGTAATCAAGAAGAGAAATGAGTAGTTCTGAGGACTAACAAATTCCTGGTGCTTGTGACAGAAGGATGTTTCCCTGGGCCCATGAGAAGGGAGGAGAGATGAGTAGCCAGGTCAGGTGGTGATCTGACCTTGCAGATATTCATTTACATGCTGAGGGAAATGATTTCTGCTATTTGCATGAATATTTTTCTTATTAAGTGTATTGATGAGATGAACAAGAAGAATCTGTGAAGGGTCACTTGAAGCAAGACATGCAATTATTATGAGTATGTTTCACAAATTTCTGCGGATCATTCAAATAAAAAATTTTGACTCTTTAAAACAACCTCTGTTTACATAGCAAGACTTGATTTAGAAGGTTTATTCTTCTACAGTACTTAATAACACTGGAGCACTCACATAAATGCTATTTCATAGCTTTGCTTTAGCTCTTCCAATGTCAGTTCTGCAATATCTGTAATAGAAATGGAGACCTGAGATGAGTTTGATTGCTTTGGAGGTTCTTATTTAGCTTTAAATGCAAATTGAAATTCTGCTTTGTTTATCTTCAAGAGAAACAGGTGTTTTCTCTTCTAAGAAACACTGCCTAAAAGGTTTTAATTTCAGTTTCCTAGAACTTTCTGTGTTTTTTGAGTGAACTTGTGAATTTTTGTTTCCTGCAGCAGGGAGTGTGGGAAATGAGGAATAATTCTGTTGTTGCAGGAGTTCAGAGGAAACTAGAGACCTGGCAGTGCTCTGCAAGAATGCAGAAAAGTAACATCTGGTGGTGAATGGAAATAATCCATGTTAACCTTTTCTTACATGCCTCTACCTCTCCTTGTACAAATCCAGCCTGGTGTCTCTAGCTGTGCCTACATGACTTTCATTGAAGGCAGTGGTAATTAGACATCTCTGTATTCTTTATCAATTATAAGTTGGTCATTGTTCTTTCCAAAAATATGAAGGCTGACAGGTTGGCACCAAAATGTTTGGGAGTTAATGTTCATATGTACTGTTGTGCTTTCACTATAATTGCTGTCTCTCCTGGCCCTAAGTTACTGTGGTTTTATTCAGGGCTTTTTATTCTAGTACTTATTTCTTTTAATTTTATTTATTTATTTTTTAATTTTTAGGATCTCTACCATGTACCAAATGGGATCTCTCCAGGGAAGCTCTCTCATGGGATGGTGTATGGTGTTGTACACCGAACTGACAACAACCATAAGAGAGAAATGGTGGTTTATGGCTGGTCAGCTGATCAGCTGAAAGAGGAGATGAATTACATTAAAGAAGTGAGTTACACTTTCACCTCAAAATTTGTTAAATACCCTTTCCATATATCCATGTAGAGCTGTGAGAGTATAATGGAATGACTGATGTCTAGCCCAGCATCTCAGGTTGAACTGGGAGCCTACTCTGAAGCTAGAGGCTGGCCTTGGCAGTATTGGAGTTGGGAAAACAGCATGCTCTATACTTGTGAACTGTGCTTGCTGATGGAAGAAACTATGTGAGCAGACACCTGAAAGGATAAAGTCTCTCTCTTCCTCTGCTTCCCCGTCCCCAAACCCCCTGGCTTTGAAAAGGCTTCTAAATTAGGTGACATAGTAAAATCACTTGGGTATATTTTGGGGCAGCCTTAAAATAGTCAGCCTAATAAGGATGTCTTTGTACTACTTTCTCTGTGCCTGCTCATATATCACAGGCAGAAGATCTCCTGAAAAACAAAAAAATGCATTTCTGATCCTGCTTGAAATTTTTCTGTTCTTGAAACTCAGCATCTCTTTGCCCATTAGTCATTGGCTCTCAGGCTGTGGCAGTAACACCCTAATTACCTCAGGGCAAATAATCTGACATCTTTCCATCCACCTTCACCACCCAGGAGGCTGTTGGTCAGTGCTTATCGTGTTACACTGATTCAAGTGCAAACTGAGTTGATAGAACAGGGAGGAACCCTGAGTCAAGTGAGCAGTGTAAAGCACTGTTACCATGTGTGCTCCTCACATCTGCCTGCTCTGTGGCTACCAGCACTTGCTTCTCTCCCTTGGTACTCCCAGTTTGTCAGTTCCTGGTGTTCACCACTCTCAAACTGCTGAGGTGAGGGACTGGCAGGGTCTGTCAGTGCTGCAGTGCTGGCGAGGCACACAAGCTGCCTTGGCTGCTGTTCTCCTGCCTGGGGAGTTCCTCTGCCCTTGTGGGGTGGTGTCAAGGGACAGGTGAATTGGCACACAGCAGGGCCAGCTCCCCAAACTGCACTGTCTGTGGTACCTGGGGATTGCTTGGGCTGGAACCATCTCCCTGCTCCTGCCTGTCCCTTATGGAGAGAAATTCTTTCAGACCAAGTGAACTGTATATCTTGTTTGTGCATTCAGGGTACTGGTGCTTTCAGGACAAAGTGGGGAACACATGGGAAGACACATGCTGGCTTTTGCTCTTCCGTCTTCTGGAAGCTGTGTTCAGCTCTGCTAATTTGTGATCTTTGACCTGCCAGAGTAGTGTCATCTTTAAAAGCAGAGTCTTAAACAAGAATCCTCAGCTTGTGCTGTGTATGTGCTGACTCAAATAGACCAAAAATGATGGGCCATGTGAGATCTGCTGACAGCTTCCTCTGCCCGAGTGCAATTTGCATCTTGCAAGAGGGGGTGTGTGTGTGCCTGTGCCTGTGTGTGGGGAGGCACAGGGTGAGTGAGCAGTGCTTTCCAGCTCCCTTCTCTCTTCCTCATCCCAGAGGGATCCCGTGGGTAGGGAGCACTCCTTGCACAGGTTTGGTGGCCAGTGCCCCTCTTTCTGGGAGGCAGTGGGGGATTCTCTGCAGAGCTGCTAAAAACATCCCCTGCTGAAGTTCACCTCCCCTCACTGTGCAGAGACAGTGAACTCACTGCCCTAAGTGATCTGCAATCAGCCTGCGTTTGGTAGAACTGAGGAAGGGGAAAAAGAGAATTACATAAGCTGTAGGCAAACGTGATTGCAGTGGTGTATAAAGCCAAACTGGAAGCCAGGTTGGGTTTTTTTTGAGTTCTTTTTCTAGAAAGGCAAGGAATAATTTTCATCCATAGTTCTTGAAATCAAATGGAGTTCTCTGTTCTTCAGATTTGAAATTGCATTGGTAAATGCAAGCTAATTTGTTGTTTAGTTAGATACAAGTCTAAAAGAGTGAAATTTAAAGTGTTTATCTGCAAAGGATACCCAGGGGAAACCAACCACTTTTAAAAGTATGGAGGTATATTAAGTCCATGCCTTTTTTTTTTCAGAAATAAAACAATATATGATCAAATTAATTTTAATTCATTTCGTAATCAGGTTAGAATTATTTATGGATATTTAATTGAAATTAATTTATTTAAATTATTAACTTATAAGTGTTAATGTACAGAGAAGTTTAGAACTACTCATAGTGACAGTTATTTGTATCTTCCCTACATAGACAAGTCTTGAGAATAGATTGCTGGTATGCAGTGGTAGATTAACAATGGAAATTACGGAGGGTAACAATGAAAAACATAGAAAAATAATGTACTACTATATATAAACAATAGAATCCAAAATTTTGACAAAGGCCTTTGATTTTTCTAACACCAGGTGAGAGCAACTCTGGAAAAAGTAAGAAGGAAAATGTATGGTGAATATGATGAAATGAAACGAAAAATACAACAGCTTACAAATGAACTGAAAGTAAGTATCCATTCATTGCAGGGAAAGCATATGGGAATAACTGACCCAGTGTTATCTAGAAACTTTTGCTTTAGCAGAACAGAACTAATCTCCTAAACCACTCCAGTTCACTGATTTATGTGACATCTGTAGTTTCCTTTCTTTCTTTATTTTTCCATCCAGGAAGGTAAAGCAGGACAGGGATGCTTTTGCATATGAAATTAAATTGGCTGGAAATTTTTGGAAATAAAAGGATAATCTTGATACCATTGCCTGTGTGTATTGGTAATTAGTGGAGATGGATGTAACAGCTTCCAGGTGAATCGATTAAATAACATTGATAATTAGGAAAAGCTGATAACCTGGAGTAATTTCAACATTTTGCTCTCTTTTATTGACTCTATTGCTTAAACACTAAATAAAAGAAGTAGCAATATTCATTAGTATTAAAGTGCTAAAAATTACTTACTTTTTTGGTTTCTAATGGAACATTTCAATGGTCATCCAATGATCTGGCTTTCTTCTGACATGCTGCTTTAGCAATGAAAGCTGTTGCACTCTGTAAAAATAGCCTTCATATTAAACTGCTGAGTTGTTTGATATGAAAAGTCTGAAAACTTGCTTTGGATTTATGTTTAGCATTGATTTTCACAGCCCTAGTTGGAGAAAGCTTTGGCAATTAAAAGTATTTGGAAGTCAAGGGACTGGGACCTTGACCTGTAGCCTTCTGCCATCCTCATTTGGAGGCTGTCAGTTCCCTGCATGCTGTATTAGGTACAATAATCAGAACTTGCTGTAAACTGGTACTTTCTTTCTGTGCAACTGCTCTCAAAAAAAAAAATAAAAATCCCCCTGACCTGAGAGGAAGAGAGAGAGAAAACTGAACTTCTGCAAACTGTGTTAAATAGTTGTAATGCTGCCAGCAAGACTCCCTCTCCCCCCAGCATGCATGTGGTAAATGCTGATTCAGGTGCAGCTTTGTTGTCTTTGCTGCTGATCTTTACTGAATAGCAGTGATGATATCCTGCACTTCCAGAACTTCTGTCAGACCAGTAGAAATCCTGCATGAGTCAGAAATTCTTCCTTAATTAAGGGTTTCTGACCAGCTCTGACAGAATATCTAGTTCTGCAGCAAATTAGCAGTTCACGAAGCTTCCTTCTGACATAAATGGTGCATTAGGAGACATCCTTCCCTTTTTTTTCATACTCTAGACTGCCTGAAAGGAAGCACAAGTGTTGTTCTTCCTAACAATGTGAGCTTTTTGTTTGGTTAGTTATTTGGGAGCTGACTTTGGTTTTATATGACTGTTGTCCTTTGTGCTATTTGCTAGTCCTGTTTAAAATCCTTTCTATATTCTTTGCTTCAGCTTTCAATCACTGTGCTTTTTTCTTACCAATTTCCAGGACAACTTTTTGTTCATAAAGTTTGTTTGAAGTTTGCTCTTCCGGTATCCTGCCCTGGGCTTCTTCACACAAGTTCTTACTTTGTAACTTTCTTAATCCATCCAAAGCATTTCTGCTTTTGTTTGTTTTACATGAGCACACATTTATAGAAGGTTAACAGTGACTACTTGGCCTTTGCTCTCTATACTGACCTAATCTGTGTATGGCTTGGTTACTTGTCCCCTGTATCAATCCCTGGTGTTCTTCTGTTTTTATCAAGAAACAAATCTGGTCCATCTAGGAATGTGAGCTAGATTGGCTTCCATTAGTAACACTCTTTTACTCTTTATTATTGGATCATTCATAATTACTTACACTGTTTGGGTTTTGGTCTCTTCTTGAACGATGTAATTTTGTGTCTTTCCCCCCTTTCAGTTTTTAATCATGTGTGTGTACATATCAGAAAATGACTAATTTGCACACAGCAAAGCCCTCTGGCTTCCACTCCCCGCTTTTACTGTTTCATCCTTACGTCTTCTTGATGTTGCTTCTTTATGTACCTGATTAGTCAGTTCCTTCTTAATTAAGGCTTTTCTACAACTCACAGTTCTAGATTTCCTTATTTCTTGCATTCTTCTGCTTTTTGCTCTGAAATTTACAATCTGCCCACTCTATGTATAGAATGTTTCTGAATAGACAGCTGCCAATTGTCCTCTTGTCCTTTCAAAAAGAGCAGCTTATACAGTGATTGTAGACTAAAAATAAACTTAGATACTTTTGCCTTATTTCTGTTAGATTATTTGGACTTTAAGTTTGTTTGTTTGTGAGAATATACTTTGAGGTGTGTATATTTTAAGCATCCTAGTAACGTGAAAACGACCTTGGCATCTTTCTCTTCTGTAGCTCTCTTGGAAAGAATAGGTAAACTTGATCATTATTCTATATAAAACTTTTTTGTTTTGTTTTGTTTTGTTTTTTTCCCTGCTCAGGTGACAAATGCTCATCAGGAATCCTTAGAGAATCATGTGCGAGTGCAGGCTGCAGCCTTAGATAGCTTTAGTGAAATGAACAGCTCCTTGACATCAGCATCAATAGACTTGCAGGTACATCTTCATAGCTGCTTCCCAGCCCACAGCTGCCTTTTCTAACATGGATTTCAAAGCATCCAGAACACATGGATGACAGATGCAGATTCTAACACTAAGCAACACCATAAAGTATTGTCTTGGATATCTAAAGCACCTAATTTAGGGAACAAATTAAAAGAGTCCTGTTTTTTAAACACAGGAAAAATTATAAATAGTGTACGATAAAGAGATATAAAGAGATACTTTCATGCAGCAGATTAATACCACAAATCATGTGTCTATGAAAGATCTACGGTGAAAATGTGATTTGGTCTGTATAGTGCAAAATGGTGAATCTCCTGACTTAGTTCTGTCTTCAGTTGGTAACAGAAATGAAGTGGCATGTTTGGATGCCAGACACTTGTGAGATTTTACATACCTGTGAAATGCAGGGGGAGGTACAAGGTGGGAATGCATTTTCTTTTTTAAAGACTTCTAAATTCCCATATATCTGAGCTGAACAACTTAATGTCCCTGCTTTCTTGTATGTAACAAGAATGTTACATTCTTGTACGTTACTTTCTTGTTTTCAGTCCACTGCATTTTTTATGTATGGCAAGGCCCTTGGAGAGAAGGGAAGGTTACTCATACTGAAATGTATCCATGTTCCTTTTTTTTTTTTTAATAGTGTCCCAGGACTTGATTTCACTGAGTATACTCCTCACAGAAATACCTTCTGGCAACAACAAAAGCCATAATTTTAAATATTAAAACTTGCAAAACTATTCATGCTGCATTAATATGTCAGGAAGCTTTTTAAATGTGCTGTTTCATAATCTCTTGCCTATATTAATTCATCAAATTATTTCTGATTTTTAATATGTTCTTTGCCTCTTTCTTCTAGAAAACTCTAGTGGATGTTACATTGGAGAACACTGATATAAGGGAACAAATAAGGAATTTAAAACATACACATGAGCAATCTATGGAAAAGCTGAGAGAGAAGCAAAAGCAACTGGAAACGGCACAAATTGAGAATCAGTTACTGAAGTTAAAGGTGTGGTATATAAACTCCTCTAAAAATACTGGACAGTAAGGGCATTAGATGGATGTTAAATGAATTCCTTGGCCTTATCTGTAAAGGGTTCTTCATTCTTCATGCCCTCGTCATGCCCTCGAGCTCACTTATTCCTGTGAATCAATATTGGTTTAATAACAAAGAATCTCAGCTGGTGACAGGCAGTCTTCCCATAACATGGGATGTAACATAAAAGTCAGAGATGTTGACAGGTGCAAATTCAAACCATTAAATGGTTATTAGCATCCATTCCTATTAAGTGAAGGAATATTACAACTCTACACATTGCTACATTAATTTTGTGGTGTTGAGTTTCTTTGGTATTGCACCATTTTTAATAGGTAGTCTGTTAAGTCTTAGGAGCATGTGGTCAGCAGGTAACAGCAAGCATCTTCAAAAGAGAATTAAGCTATTTCTTTCAGAGAAATGCAAGGAAATAAAACACAAACTTCAAGGTTTAATATGACAGAAATCTTGACCATGTTGTCTCCTCATCAGCCAATGTATTCCTTTAATCTCAAAAAAACCAAGCCCACAAAAAACCCAAATAAAACAAACACACCTTCCCCAGAAACCTTTGTGTCTGTTAAAATTGTTCAAAGTAGACCAATTTGGATATAGTACTAAATCAGAATTTGTCAAGTTTTGAAAAATTGGTTATTATTTTTGGTAAAGTTTCTGAAATTAAGGTGACTGCAGCTATATTCATGTCTAATTTTGCCAGAGAAGGTGTTTCTTTCTGGCTGTTTTGCTAGTGACTAGCACTCATGCTTAATGATGAATGGTTAAACAACAAAATGTAAGTGCCTCTCATGTTCTGCTTTCCTCTCACAGTGAAGCTCTACAGGCTATCAAGGTAGCTGTATTTGGCACCTGCTGTTGTCAGCAGGAAATAAAAAGATGGAAAAACCAAGTAACAGAAGCAAAGATGACACAACTAAGATTTTAAAACAGGAATTTGGGCTTCACTAGAATAGTAAAGACATGCCCCAGCAAGTCAGGAGTGTCTGCTTCTGAGAGCAGGGAACTGCAACTTAAGTCTCAGTTCAACTGAATGCATAAGGATTTATCTTCAAGCATGTTAAGCTGCAGAATACATGCCCTGCATTTACACAGCAAAAGTGTAAATTTTGCCCTCACATTTTCAGTTTTAGTACCAAGTTAGTGAATAATATACCTCATTAGTATCTTTGACAGTTAAATATAAAATTGTGTCTCAAAAGGTGCCAAGACATCTGGGAAATGATTCTAGGAGTGAATGTAAGAGGATGGTGTGGGATCTGGGAGGTTAGTGTTGAAAAGCAGTAACTGCTGTGTACCATGATTACATTCTGGGTGGAGAACACACCTGTGAGGCTTATTAAGGAGCTTTGGTTTTTTCATAAATCTGTAATAACTTAGAGTGGAGATGTTGCTTAAGTATATTATAACACATGCCCTGATACATCCACCTTTTTACACTTGTTTTTATTGTCCTCATTGCTCAAGGTGTAAGGAAAGGAATGATGGAGATAAAAGGCCAGAGATCCTGTTCCAGTTCAGTGTATCTTGAGGAATCTGGGGTTTAATAATTGGCTTTCTCTAAATGATACCATTCTTTCAGGCTTCCTGAAATGTGGGAGGTTCATTTAACTCCACACCCTCTCATAAAGTGCAGGTCACTACCTGTGCCCCAGGGTTGGCCTAGCTGAGATGACAAAAAGGGACAATTGCAGTACAAGTGGAGTCCTTCAGGGCTCATCCCTTTCCAAAGAATGAAACACACTGTTGTTTTTCTACAGGGTACTGAACAAGCTTGTTTCTGCCATGCAAGATGAACTCAAGGATTTACTAAACATTTTGGTCCTTGAAATAGGAAAAAAAATCTAACCCAAAACCTTAATCATCAGAACTCTGTATTTTGGAGCTGTGTTAAGTGTGGTGATCAGCAGGAACACTTTATTCCTCCTCTTCTGTCACTTTTGTAGCACCCACAGCATTTCACTATAACGCTGGTTGATTCACAGCATCTCTAGGAAGAGAACTAAGACCTGTACTAGCTGTTTTACTTACTTTTATTGTGGTTTACACAGTAGATGGGCCTAAGCTGTGAATATCCTTAATTACTGAGGGTGTGGTTCAGTCAGTGTTTTCAGTCAACAGCAGGAAATCCGTCTCTGAATTACCATTCTGCCTTCTTCCCTGTAGCTCTAGTAAAGTCTCTGGTTCTGTTGTTTAACCCTTCCACACACCTGAGAATTTTAATTTTCAGTTTGATTGCTTTGCTGCATGGTTATCCCAGTTCTTATGCCGACACAAAGAGTGGAATGTGAAAAACCAAGAGAGAGCAGGGAGGGTACTGCAATAAAGCATTGCTTTGAGTGTTCATGGCCATTTAGAAACAGGAGTTGAATCCAGTCCATCTCTAGTCCACGCTTGAGTAAAGCAGGAGGAGACAGTATGGTTTCATTGGAGGAGCAAACCAAGTGACTTGGAAGCTCTTATGGCATTTGGTTCAGCTGTTATGGCTGTTATGGTTCAGCAAAAAGGCATGGCCTGATCTTGGATAAGAAATGACTAAATTCAGACAACTTGATGGAACAGTGACTTCTGCAGACTCAAACTATATGAATACTGGCAGAATGCTGAAAATGGTCTTGATGCAAATGGAAATCTACTTTTGCAATGTCAGATTTATAACAAGGGGGAACTTCAAACTCTTATTTTCTCATCATGTGAACTCTCTCTCCTGCTGCTAGCAACACTGTACTGACTGATGGGGCAATCTTCCTCTCTCATAGGTGGAATCATCGCAGGAAGCCAATGCTGAAGTCATGAGAGAGATGACCAGAAAGCTGTACAGTCAGTTTGAGGAAAAAATGCGAGAAGAGGAACAGAAACACAAGGCTGAGAAAGAAATGCTCCTGGTATGTACAGCCAGTCTGTAAGAGCAGTGCTTAGCTTGGAGGTCATTTCCCAATCCTTCATACTCTGGAGTTGATGAGTTTTCCTTCACTTCTGTCTCTGTAATTAGTCGTGCCATAGTTACTAAGCTTTCCAAACTTCTGGGGTTCTAGGACTAAGAAAATTATGTGTTCAAATATAGTCATGTCAATAATAATCTAGATTTCAAAATCTGAAACAGGGTAAGTAGGTTTCTTAACTTCTGATTCTCCCAAAAAGGAAAATACAATGTCCAATTTTAAGTGACGGTTTAAGTAGGAGAAAAGGGAACAACTTCACCGAATGCTACTGCAGCAAGAACTCTCCTATCCCCCAATTTCCCTCCAGCCCCAAGTAAAACCTTTCTATGAGCAGTCAGTTGTTGCATTTTTAAAAATGATAGAGGCAGATAATGATGGAGATTGAAGATAGATGCTCCTTATTATTCATATTGCTTTACATGTAAGGAAAAGTACAAAACTGAACGTGGCCAACTATTGTGTTTAGAAAGCTGTCTTTTGCAGCAGCATATTTTTCTCATGCTGTTATTTAACAGCATCCTCAAGGAAAGGGAAGGGAAATCAGCTATCTAAGAAATGGGTAAAAGTTCCTCTTGGATTGTCATAATGATGCTTTACTAATACCCGTATTAGTATATTTCAAATATTCAAGTAATATTTCAAAATACCCCCAATCTTTTGCTCTATATAATTCACTTTTAGGGTCATATATAACATATATATTAACATATATAACTCTCCCAGATTTCTGAGCAGGTGTAGTGAAAAGCTTTGAGCTCTTTAGGAGCTGTTAGCCTGGTCCTATAGCTGAAAAGAAGATAAAGAAATATTCCTCATTAATATATGAGCTGCTAATGCGACTGTAAATGTTCTTGTTTGTAGGAGGAAACAAATCGGCTTCTGAAGGCTATTGAAGAGGCAAATAAGAAGATGCAGATCACAGAAACAAGCATCCAGGAGAAAGACCAGAGAATTGGTGAGCTGGACCGGCTGATTGAACGCATGGAAGAGGTATTGAGAGCTGATTGCTGCCTTGAGAGGAAATGCACAAGTGCAGGGAGGAAATTTCACTTGTTATTGTTCTCCTGCTCAGTGACATACCATTGCTGTTTGCATCTTCATTACTGTATTTATTATATGAGTAAATGCACCTGGACTGCCATAGAGATCCTGTGATGAGGAAGTTCTCTCTTCCTGGTGGTCCTTACAGGGCATCATTTATTTAGGAAATGAACCATTATTTTATAGAGAGAATTTAAAAACCATTCAGTGTCCATTCAGTGTGCAAGGTGTCCTAAGCCTAATTGAGTAATAATGACCCACAATCTCTTAGATTATGTTAGAAATGTTGTTGTGGTAGGTCTCTATAGAGTGCACAGAGTTCTGTCTGTGGATGGGTAAGAAGCTGATGGAGAACCTACAGGGTGGAAGGCAGGGCCAGGTGACATTAGAGTGGGGGCTACCCTGTCAGGAAGACTGAAAGGATGAGGCCTTTTACAGACAATAGGAGCAGCCTCTTGTTCACAAGCCCTGGCCCTCATGGGGATTTTCAACCACCCTGATATCATTTGGAGGGACAACACAGCAGAGCAAAAGCAATCCAGGTTCCTGGAATGTGTTGATGATAGCTCCCTTCTCCAGTGGATAGAGGAGGCAGTGAGGAGAGGTGCTGTTCTGGACCTTGCTCTCACCAACAAGGAGGAACTGCTGGGCAATGTGAAACTCAAGCACAGCCCTGGCTGCAGTGACTATGAAATGGTCTTGGATGCACTTTGGCATTTCTCATTTCATTCAATAGCAGGCAGGTCATTATCTTCAAAGATTTGTGTCTCACTATCTCAAATACAAGAGCAGAGAGTGTTTTAGTCAGTGGAGGGAGTACAATCTTCTGATCTTTTAAATGAAGTGGGTTTTTTTTTCATAAATTTCACTTTATTGTAATACATATATATCAGTATCTACTGAGAAATACGTTTTTATAAGCCAGGCTTGTTGGCTTGATTGGTTAGTCTAATGTGCATTGAGCCCCTTTTGTCTAATGTTTGCAAATCCATTAGTAGAATTAATGATTATACTGAGAAATTATTCAGCTTAATATGCCCCTGTAGTGTCTCCATTAACTTCACCTGGGCTTCAGCCTACAACTTTTAAGTATTATGCAGTGAATGTAGGATTGCAGTACAGTTTACAAGTATAGATGAGTTCCTTCACATTAGTTCTTTAATCTGGCTGATACTCAGTGAGTCTGAATGCCTCTTAAATTCCCATCAAGGTGCATAAGGCACTTACACTTCTCTGTTAACTTGTTTGGCTTAGACCCCAAGTCCTCATAGATCTTCACAAGCACTCTGCTGGTGGGCACTTAAAAATAAACAGGAATGCTCTGGGAGAAGAAAATGTAGCAATACCTTTTATCTCAGCCTTGGATTGGGAGATTTTTTGGAGTGATAATGTGATTTATGTAGTTCAAGAGTTTGATGACTCATTTTTATTGAAAAAATTAAGTTTCAAGTACAGCCATACATCTTCATATAGGAAATTGAAAACTGATCTTGTTTCCATGCATAGCTGGGAAATTGATTTTATTATTACATATTCTGTGCTGCTTGGCTATAGGAAATGCACGAATTTTGTTTAATCAGTTTCTATTTTAATTTCACAATGATGTTTTGAATTGCAATGAAATACACTTTTTGAAGCCTTTACATTTTGATACATGAGAACTGAATGATAACTTTTCTTGTTCAGGAACGTCGCCAGCTGCAAAAACAACTTGAATTAAATGAACTACAAATATCTGGAGCAAAATCTGAAAACAGCTCTGACAGTGAAAGGTGAGATATGACTTGCCTGTGGAACTTCTATTCTTGCAAGGAAACTTCAGGGGTTTCTTTGGTTTTGTAGACATCTAAATTTTGCATTTTCTAACTTTAAAACTGCACTCTGGTAGGGATTGTCCATCTGAATGTAGTTTTATTTATATGTAAAATATCAAGACATTTTTTTTTTGCAACAATGACCACCTTCATGCATCTTTTCTGAAAAGTTGTTTGCAAATGGGCAGAGTCCATGGTAGATAGAACAATCTGTGGCTTGCATTTTTCTTAAATCTGCACTCCCAAATTCAGAGGAGTATGATCCTGACTACGAATATTTTCACTATCTAAACTCAAAGGTTTATATGACACTGCTTCAGTGGGCAAAGATGAATTATAACCAGAAACGGAATAATAGTACTTGATTACTACTTATGGTTCTGTGGCACCCAGAAATTCAGTTTTAAGGTTTGGGTGTCTTGCTGTTCTATGGGAAGCATAAACATAAAAGGAGGTCCCTGCTGAGAGCTGCTCAGTGCCTTGTATTGATCTGTGACCAGCTTCTCTGCTTTCAGAGTTAGAATGGCATTTCACAGCAGCCTGTTAAAATAATAACTTCAAGTGAACAGATGTCACTTGCATACAACATAGAATATGGAGATGAAAGATAATTGCTGTTTTCCTTTACCTCTGAATAATACAGACTCTTCTTGCTTCAGTGAATCCTTTTCAGTGTGAAAAATTACACTGCAGTAAAAGGGTAAAGGCAGGAATTTGTGCAATGCAAGCAAGCTCACGGTTGCAATCTGTGCCATGCAAGCAATGAATCTGTGTTCAGAGGATGCTGGTTTATTCTTAAGTTATCTTTACCTGTCTGTACCTTATCAGACACTCGAGCTCCACCTTAGGAAGGATGTCTGTTCCATTTCTCCATTGCTATCAATGCTTAAGATCCTGAATCTTCCAATGAGATATAAAATATGTGCTGTAATTGCAATCAAAATATAAATTAATGTTTTGTGAGATCTTAATATGCCCAACTGAAAAATCTACAGCAATGCTTTGAATTTTTTGAGTCTCTGTCAAAGTGCTGCAGTTACATTTCTGCAGAGTACTTCACTGTTAATAGAGACTCTTTTGGGGGGAAACAGCATACAATTCAGTCATTCACTGGAATCATGTCTTACAGTTTGCCATCTGCTGCTTTGTCTTAGAATGATTTTTCTATTTGCAGCTTTAACAGTTTTTTTTTTCTGCTGTGAACAGACCAAGATGAAAAAAGCCTTTTTGTTTTTGATTCCCTTCCTTCCATTCTCAAATTCTGTCCAGTCCTGAACCTAGGAGTACAGCAGTTTATTTTGTAAGCAAGCAATTCTTTCTTTGACAAATTTTAAGAATTGGGCATTCATATAAAAATGGAGACTCCCATGGCCAAAGAGACAAAACCTTACGGAAAAGCTTCACTCCTGCTTCCTTGCATATTCTAAAGCTACTTTTCTGACAAGCTGCCAACTTGTGGCAGGAGTTCTGTGGGAGTTCACTTTCTGTATTAAACAGATTTGAAGAAATGCAAAATCTATCTGAAGAGTTGTATGCACAAATTTAAACCATTCATCGCATTCCTGCTGACTGTTGAGGAGTTAATGCTATTCCAGTTAGCATTCTGCTGCAGTTGGCAGCTCTGCCAAATTCTTGACTCAAGGCTCCCCTGCAGTAAGAGAGCTTTGAAAGCAGACCTGCTTCCTGGCTTTTGTTTAGCATACATTTCCAAAATATTTGCAGGCAGTAGTAAGTCAGGCTAAATGGGTCTCTCTGAAGCTAAAGATCTAGCTGTCTAAAAGCCTTTCACTAAAGGAAAACACATCTTGAGATGAGTTTTGTCACATTGTTTATTTGTCAGCACTTCACCCTCTGAGTAAGCATGTCAGTATGCAAGAGTGCATACATAAAGATGAGACAACTTGGGTGGAGGTGGCCACTTGGACTAAGATCACATTAAAATGTACTTTGGACAATTTGACATCTGTCAGTGCAATTTGACTTGCCTGTCCTGATTTATGGTGGATTGTTCTTGTTCAGCTTATACTGCATAGCTCCCCACTTACAGCCTTGATTCTTGCACGTTTTGCCAGGTCACAGCATTTGGAGGAGGTAGCAGCCAGCCTGAGAGAGAGGATCAAGCATCTGGATGACATGGTCCACTGCCAGCAGAAGAAAGTTAAGCATATGGTTGAGGAGGTGAGATAGAGTAAAGTAACTTGGAGTCTTTAGGGAGCACTGATTCTTTTAGTCCATAATCCAAAGAGAAATGTGTTCTTTGTGCAGTTGCCTTATGCCACCTTTGTTGCAGTGGAAGTTAAGCATCTGGAGCCAGTGAAGCAGAAAGAGTAGATGAAAGCAGTTTAATCCAGTGGCTGAGGGTTATATACTGTGATCTTTAGGCTGACACTAAGTCTGTCTCTCTTCATGAGTGTTCAGGAAATGCAACACAACTTCCAGCTCAATTTGAACCATTCAGAGGGTACCTCTGATATGATGACATGTCATTAATGGTCTCCTTCCTTGTCCAGAAGTGGAAGGCAAAAGCTGACCTTTATTATTTTGTTCTTCTGGTTTTGGTACATTTTGTTTGGGTTTTTTTGTTTGTTTGTTTAATGTGATTCCTCACAGAAATAGGTGAACAAGCACAGTTTTTCACAGTTTTTCACTTTCTCTTCTTACCCTTGTCTGTCTTAGCTGCTACCATTTCCTGTAAAATTTTAAGTGGAATTTTGCTGGATAGATCCTTTAGGTTACAGGCTACCTATGTGTCAGGAAACTGTTCTGCAATCAGAAGGCTGTAATTGCAAACATTTCTGTTTCTCCAAGTGGAAAGAATGACATGGGAAATAGATAAGTTTAAATTGGAGCTTTACAAAGCTGACTGACAGCTCTATTAGAAGAGCCTCCTACTGCACAGAGGATGGGTGTTTATGAGATACCTTTGATTTGTATCTACACATCATACATCATATACTCAAGATATCAAATGTTTAGAAAACACTCAAATCTAAGGCATTCTTTCTGCATTCACAATGTGCTATTACAGGACTTCTGATTAGGCATGGAGATGTTCCATTTTTGTCAAGTTTGGATTTATATGTATTTATGTATACTTTGTTTTATAAGATTCTGATGTAGTCCTTCTGTATGATCAGATGTGTGATACTATGTACCTTTAACACAGAGGAAATAATGTTCTTCTGTTGTATCAGACATATCAAGTCTTGAGGTTTTGGTTTTAGTTTAGTTTGCCATTATCATTGTTTTTAAGCATCATAGCTGGTCTAAAACTGAACTTACAGTCTTTATACCATGGTATTTTATTAAGGAAAATTTCTCCAGTCCAATAATCCAACCCATCTAATTAATAGATTATGGGAACAATTATTTAGTATGTTTTGTATCTCTGTACACCAAATGAGTTTTTTCCATCGGTTCTAAAGAAAAGTTCTAAAGGATCTGTGACACATGTGGGACTCTGAATGAATTTAGTAATACATGAGAATGGTGACCTACATTTTGCCCTTTATTACTAAATATATTTAAAACTTCTGGTTGTAACTTGACCTCTAGTGGGCTGCATTGGTATAACAAGTCCTTTCAGCTCCATGTTTTGTTTTGGACTAAAACCATATATAAAGCTTGAGCCAATGATTGATTTCATTAATATTAGATTTAATGGGTGAGTTTACCTTACTAATTTCTTATAATGTATCTCTGCTGGTGCCTTAATATACACAGAAAACCCTCTAGACCATCTGGTTATCCTATTAAACGAGAGTTAGGCAACCAAGTCACTACTTAATTGTCAAACATGTCTGCTCCTAACTGCTGTCTGACTGCATGCTTTTCAGATTCAGTTAACCCTGCATCAGTCTTGACTACCACGTAGCCATAGGGTAGATATTTTTGCTCTCTCCTTAATTCCTGTGTTTCAATTTTTATTTTAATTTAGTTTACTTGAGAATTGCATGAACACCTATGTAGCTACATCTATATTTTCACTAGTGAGCTAGCTAAAGACTCTTGTACCAGAGGTTTGATCAGGTCAGGTGGTACCAGATACAACAGGCATTTAATATTTGGGGCTTTTTTTCTTAGTTTTATGCTATTTGTTGCTTGTGTTTGTACTGTGTTTGAGAAAATTTCCATAATATAGTTGGCATGCCCTGCTTTAAACTGCACTCTTAATTAAAAGCCTAAAAATGGAAGCTTTAATAATGTAGAGAAGAGTAGCTGTTCACCATGGGGCAAGAGAAAAAGCATTGCAGATATGTATGTCCACAACTATCCATGGTGCTTTTCATGATTTTGTGCTTTTCTCTACATAACATTAGATAAGTATTTTTTGGCTCATTTTAAGCAAGCACTTGCTAACTATGCCATAGAAGCTAAAAAAAAATGGCAATAAAAATATTGAAAAGGAATGCTATCTGAAGAGTCTGTTCTGAAGTTAGGTTAAAAACTAGTGAGCAGCAGCACTAAAAATATCTGCTAGAGTAAATAGGGAAGATTGCACTACTATTTCAGTCCCGGAAGACATGTTCATCAGGGTATATTTAAACACACATCCTCCCTGCACTAAATTTAACTGATTGCAGAATGGCAAGGAATATCAAGAAAAGTGTAATGAAAACCTGCCCTGTTACTCATTATTGCAGTATTTTTATGGCTGTTATCTGTAAAATAACATGCCATCTTAAGGTTTATGGGGGTATTATAATGATATTGATAACTTCTATTTAAATAATTGAGAAAGAAAACCAAATAATTCAAAAGCTAGACATCTTGCTTTCTGAAACACTTCACTTCTCTGTGATAGTCATTAGAGTGAAAACAGGCTAACCTGGGAAACTCAGGAGGGAAGTGGAAGGAAATTAAATAGTCAAAATTATCAGCAGTGCTTGTTTGAAGCTGAAACAGAGCTACTGTATGAGCTGCTAGGTGAGAAAACCTAAACTTGCTTGACTACAGGATGAGCTTTGTTCAGTATTAATCTTCGTATATTGGACACAGATCTGAAAGATAAATAAGGGGTTTACTCTTCCAGTGTAAATCACAAGAAGTTTATGCTGTTACCATCTCCAATTCAGAGAAATTTAAGAAATGAACATCACTTCAAAGGGATTCTGAACAAACAAGATATACTTCTTGAAAGTCATATGGAGAACTGTCAAAATTGGACAAGTACTGAGATTAATTTCCTGGCTGATAAAAATCACAAAATAGATTGCTCTGAAACCCTTTTTGGGAAAGATGATGAATGGTTTGCAAGTGACAGATGCAGGGCATTCTATAAAAGAACAGCAAACAGCCAAGAGGAAGTCACAGAGAAGCTTTATAGTGCAGTTTTGTGATGCAGCAGGCAACTCCAACACCTCTGGTTCTATTTTGATGGCATTTAAAAATGTGTTAGCAGGTGGTGGTCAGTCCTAACTTAGGCATGAAAGGGGATGATGGCAGAGAAGCACCAAATGTAGGAGGCCATGGAGTAAGAATATTAACACATTCCTCTTCATAGATCTCAACATATTGGTACTGAATGCAATGGTTATGTGATCTAGGGAATTGAGCCCAGGCAGAGGAGGACACTCACAATTCACTGTGCTTATATTCCTTAGCAAACAAAAAATTTGCTTCTAATTTTTTTCCTCTGAAAATAAATCCTTCCGTCTCAGGCACCAATAGAACCTTTTTCAAACTTGATCTAGTCAAACCAGTCATAAATTAAATAGAAGCACAGAAAATAACTTTCAGAAGAAAAATAAATGGAAGAAATAAAATGGAAGTTTTCTGGAGTTGTTGACCTTCAACATTTCTGTGTTAGCTCTCATGCACACACATTTTTCATCCTCATAGGGATTCCTTTCTATGAGAGAAAAAATTGCTGCTCATTAGTGCACCAGCTGAGCAGAAAGTTATCCTGCATAGTTTTAAAGCCTCATGTTCTCATTAGAGAGAGATTGCAGATGATTTATGGCTGACAGATTTATCCCTGTGTTGAACTTGTTTGTTAAACAAATCTATTTGTTCACAGCTTAGTGTAGTACATTTTAAATGCAGTGCTGGTAGTTAAAAGTGCAGGACTTGCATTTGGCAGGTGTTTAGAAACCCAGCCCTTTTCTCATACTATTTGTACATCACAGGCTTTCAAAAATCGAGTGAGGAGAGACAGATGGCCAGAGTGGGTCACCCAAGGCTCAGATTTTTTAGCCCGTGCCTTTGTAACTCTCTTAAAGTATGACTGGGCAGAGAGAGACTTGCAAAGGCAATCCAGGAAAAAGACATTTTGATGAGAGGAAGAATTTTCAGGGAGACTCACAGGTGAAAGGCAGAGACACACAAACTTCAGGCCCTTCCACTAAGGAATTTCCTCTGCAGAGATGAGACTGGGAAGGCAGATGCAGGCACAGAGGCACCACAGGAGGGCATGGGAAGCTGCTACCACACTGCTCTCTTCAGGGTTGGAATTGCTCTTGTTCTATGAGAGGGGTAAAAGTTTCTCTTCTAAGTATCTCTCTGATGGGTCAACCAGTTCATCCTGTCTGAGTCACTGAAGGAAATGAGACTTTCATGTAAGATAAATGAAATACAAAACATAGATTTAAATTAGCAAAATATTTTTTTTGTGGCTTGATTTCAATTTCAAACCTGGAGAGATTTAAGAGAGATTTAGTTTTAAGATTTCTGTAATTCACTTTGAAATGGATTGCAATTTCATTGCACAGTAAGCTTATTTTATATGTAATGTTGTTTCATTGTTGAGAAGCAGGAGAGAGAAGGAAATCAGCATCTACATTTTGTAAGCAAGGCAAGGGAGTTGATGCAGATGTAGGAAGCTGTTCTGAAGGGGTCTGAAGAAAAAAGGATATTTGATTTCATGCCAAGAATTATCTACAGAGCTCAGATTTGACGTGAAATTCCCCTAACTACTGAATTGAACTGTCTCTAGGTCATGGCCCATGAGCTGTTCTCCAGCTTTAGTCTCAGATTCGTTGGATAATAAATGGTGACCAGACACCAGGGAGAAGCTGTCTCCTGTTCTGTCGGGGAAGATACTTGCATGAAAGGACAAAGTGCTAATGAGCAAATTATATTGCAAAAACAGAAGACACCTTGTATTGCACAAATGGGGTATAAAAAGAAGACATTTTTCCAAAAAAGACTTAAACATCTGAAAATATCTGTATCAAGAC